GTGAAATAAAATATATCAAACTAATGCAATGCTCTCTTAAGTCTTAATATAACATGTTGCCTTTTAACGATACTTGGGTAGTGTTACCAATATAAACCAAGATGAACACAAATGAAATGAAACAGTAACTGACAGCAGCACAACCCCCCCCCCTGAAATTAAGCCTAGAAGTTTGCAACCTTGGACTCTTAATGCATGGTCACATATATTGCCTAAACATCATAAAAAGAACGAGTGATAAGCAAGAGAAGCTTAGTAAGCCAGATTAATTTTGAGCATTAGCTAAAACATTGTTTAAATGGCTATTTTCCATTCGCAATGGGGAAAAATTATTCAAAAATAAAATTCATCATCTGTAATATTTGTATTACTCCTAAATTTATCTTTAGTGTATAGTGAATCAGTATTAGTGACTTAATCTCCTTTGGAGTTTGGACTTCATTTTGCATAGAGTAATTACTTTCAGAGAACCAACTACCTCATTTTCGTCCCAATCACTCCACATGCTTTGCCTATGTGAATACGATATCAATGTTGAATCCAGAGTAATCGCAAAATCACCCTCCACATCCACTGCATAATAACCTGCATATGGACTACTCTCGTTAAACAATTCTACTTTTGTCTTAATATGCTTGTTTTTGTTGAAGTCTATCAAGTCCAGCTCAACTTCAAGTGACGAATATGCAGGCAACCCCAACAATCTTCTTGACATACACAGTATATTGCCCACCTTTACTGGTTCAAAGCCATTCTGCTTCTCAAAAAGAATGCATGGCTCTGAGTTATAGTTTCCACAGGTGTTCTTACATCGCGCAACAATTTTCCCAGCAAGATTAACAACTAGGCCCTTGTTTTTGCTATATAATTGAACATCCACCCCACAAAGGGTAGCAAATGGCATTTTAATATAACTCAGGGTAGCAGAGCAAACTGTATCCTGGAATTCTTTTGATCTAAATTCTTCAACATCGCCGCCTTCAGTTGTACCCCCCACCAAAAAAATTTCTTGAGCAAACGAACGGGCAAAATCCCCAATTTTGAGATAGAGATCAACTTCTATAGCTGTTTCGTACAATGTCATCCACAAATCATAATAGCCAGTAATCCCCTTTTGGAAAATATCAGACAGAAGAATTAAATTACCACCACTTGGGCTTATGTAGTCAGCATCATTGGCACTTCGTTTATAAACATCAAGCTGCACCTCTTCTCCACTAGTGATATTTTGATACTTAACCCGAATCGTACCATATACACGTAGGGGTCCATTCTCTGGAGATTTTGGCTGTACATGTACTGAATGCACATGAAGTAAAGGCGCAGCTTTAACATCTTCTCTGCCTTTTTGCTTTTCGGTTTCTCGTGAGATACTGATATCATGAGCACAGCTATCCATGAAACGGAGAACATCAGCGGTTTCGTATAACCTCGACGGATCTGGGCCATGAGTGATGAATAGCTTCTTCATATCTCGTTCTGTAACATGGCGGTGACGGTTTAGAAGCTCATTGACATCGTCTTGCAAACCATAAGGGTAACGTTCCATGAAGAAATCTATAATGCCAAGAAAGATTCGCTGCAGAATATTATGTTGGAATATGAGATAAGAGATCTAAAACAAGAGTTCAATAACTTCAATTCAAGGTTTTTGTTTTAAAGGAAAAATGAACTACAGATCAATACACTAACACAAGAAATCAAACATAACCCTAATTGTTATTATTATACCGATCCTAATTCAGAGATTATATTTACCTAAAAAGGGATCGTTTCGTAAGCCAGGGCCGACGACCGAAAGATATTTACACTAAAACGAATTTAATGATTAGAAATCATACTAATAGGACAAAAACACTGTGTTTATCCCTAAAATAGGATTTCATGTTTTTTATCCCCCAACTAGGAACTCTCCCGCCATATTCTTTCTTTCTCTCCCGATTTTGCCCTCCTTTTTCTTTCCGCGTCACACTTCACAATTCTGCCCCGTCTACATTACAACTCTTTGTAATACACATTACCACATTACATACTATGACACTTTACATTACAATGGTTCGTAATATTCATCACCACATTACAGATTATGACACTGGTAATATCCACATTACATACTTTGCTGGACTATCATGAATTTTTTTAATTGCATATTAACCATTGAATATTTTTATTTTTTTGTTATGCATTTAAATCCAACATGTCCATATGAGTTTAAACTTTAAAGGACAAAACATGCACATGTTGTGAATTCCAACTTGATCAATTTATTTGCATTCATGGTCATGCTTGGTAATGTAAATGTATATTAACTCAGATTTCAAGAATAAAAACATGAAGCTTCTATTTTGTTATATTTTCATTGTTTTACTCCTATTTTAGAGAAAATACTAACATTGGAGCTCCATGTTTTTATTTCCAAAATAAGAGTTCGCACTGTGGTAATGTGACATGTGGACATGTGGTCAAGTACTTGTGGTCTTGTAGACATGTAGCGCGATTAATGAGGTAATGAGGAAAAAATCCCGCGTCACAAATGTTGAGAAATATTTTGGGGATGGCAATGCAAATTTATTCATATGTGGTGAATTTATGTTTTGAACTCCTATTTAAAATATATTTTCTATTTTTTTAATCTTATTTAGGTTTCCCC